GAAGGGCAGTGGATGAAGGAAGACTAAGAACCTGACGGAGCACCGACTCGGGTGGTAGCGCGGACAGCTGCGGCGGCGGCAAGAAAAACGGGCGCTGCTGCACAGGGCCCCCAGCTCCAGCACCTCCAGCTCCGGTGCCTCCGGCTCTAGTGCCTCCAGCGCCAGCGCCCACAACTCCAGCACCTCCAGCGCCAGTGCCTCCAGCGCCAGCGCCTCCAGCTCCAGCGCCTCCAGCTCCAGCGCCTCCAGCTCCAGTGCCTCCAGCTCCAGTGCCTCCAGCTCCAGTGGCTCCACCTCCAGCGTCTCCAGCTCCAGCGCCTCCAGCCCCCCCAACGCCTCCAGCTCCAGCACCTCAAGCTCCAGCGCCTCCAGCTCCAGTGCCTCCAGCTCTAGTGCCTCCAGCTCCAGCGCCTCCAGCTCCAGCGGCTCCAGCTCTAGCGTCTCGAGCTCCAGCAGCGCGACTCCGAAGGCGGGTGCGCCGAGCAAACCACTCGCGCAGCTGCTGTGGCGAGAGAGACTCCACAGTGCCTCCAGCACCAGTACCCCCAGGACTAGCAACCCCAGTACGGTCAATACCTCCAGCTCCAGGGCCTCCAGCCCCAGCGCCTCCGGCTCCACTGCCCACAGCGCCAGCACCTCCAGCGTCACTGCCTCCAGCGCCACCGCCTCCAGCTCTAGCACCTCCAGCTCTAGCGCCTGCAGCTCTAGAGCCTGCAGCTCCAGTGCCTCCAGCTCCAGCGCCTCCAGCGCCAGGGCCTCTAGCTCTAGTGCCTCCAGCTCCAGCACCTCCAGCGTAAGTGCCTCCAGCGCCAGCGCCTCTAGCTCCAGTGTCTGCAGCTCCAGCGCCTCCAGCTCCAGTGCCTCCAGCGCCAGTGCCTCCAGCTCCAGCAGCGCGAATCCGAAGGCGGGTGCGCTGAGCAAACCACTCGCGCAGCTGCTGTGGTGAGAGAGGCTCTCGCTGGCTAGACTGCTGCGCCGAGGCACCCGGAGGACCACTAGCAGACGCAGCACCACCAGGCTCAGCACCCCCAGACGCAGCACCCCCAGGCTCAGCACCCCCAGACGCAGCACCCCGAGGAGCTCCAGCGTCTCCAGCCCGAGCGCCTCCAGCTCCAAGGCCGCCAGCCCCAGTGCCTCCAGCTCTAGAACCCCCAACTCCAGGGTCTCCAGCTCCAGCGCCTCCAGCTCCAACAGTGCCACTCCGAAGGCGGGTGCGCCGAGCAAACCACTCGCGCAGCTGCTGTGGTGAGAGAGGCTCCCGTCGGGTAGACGCAGTACCACTAGGCTCAGCACCCCCAGGCTCAGCACCCCCAGTCTTCGTACCCTCATGCTTAGCACCCTTAGGCCCCGCACCCGCAAGCTCAGTACCCCCAGGCTCCTCACGCTCGGGCTCAGCACCCCCAGGCTTCGCACCCGCAGGCTCAGCACCCCTAGCAGCACCACCCCCAGCAGCACCAGAGTCACCAGTGACCTCGACAGGCTCAGCCAAGGGAAGTGGGTCTACCTGAGAGACCGAGGGGGTCTACCGGAGGGGGACCTGGAGCGAGGAAGAGCGGCGGGGGGGGGGGGAGAGGGGCAGTGCGGTAGGGGAAGAGATGGTAGAAGGGAACCGACTCATCAAACGTGACGTCCTGAGAGGACAGAACACGACGCGAGGTGGGGTGGTAAAACTGCCAGCCAAGCGCGTCAGGGGGGAAGCCAAGGAAGACGCAGGGAATGGCGCGGGAGGAGAGCTTGTCCGCGGAGGTATCGCGGACAAAGGCACGAGAGCCCCAGACCCGGAACACCGACGCATCGCCAACCTCCCCCGTCCAACGCAGTGTGGGCGAGGTCTCCGGCAAGGAGACACGGGGCCAGAGGTTGAGCTGATGCGCAGCGTACCGGACCGCAAATGGCCACAGAAATAGGGCCGCATGGATCATGGAGGTACGAGCGACCTCCATGACTAAGCCAATGCGGCGCTCAGCAATCCCATTTTGCTGCGGGGAGGCCGGAAGTGTGAACGACTGGAGGATGCCCTCCCCCTGACAAAAAATCCGCAGGAGGTCGGAGGAGAACTCACCACCCCTATGAGAGTGCAGATGCAGGACTGGAAAGTCCGTGCGGAACCGCTCGCGGAGCTAGAGACGAACAGCGCGGATCCAAGGGATCAAGACATCAGGGACCTCCCCCTTGCTGCGCAAGGGGAAGACCGTGGTGTAACGCATGTAGTCGTCGACAACCAGCAGAAAGGAGCCCTGTCCAGTGACGCGGGCTGGGCCCCACACGTCCATGTGGAGAGTCTGCAGGGGAGCAATCGTCGGGGGAAACGAGGAGGAGTGAGGAGCGGCGCGCTGCCGCCCCTCGACGCAAGGAATGCAGGGCGGGGCAGGCGAGGGTGGGAGGGGAGGCAGAGACCTGGGAAGACCAGAGACAAGGAGGCGGGAGTGCATGCCACGGAGGCGTGGCAGAGAGGGGTGACCAAGGCGGTGGTGCCAAAGGAGAGTCTGGTGCGATAGGAGGTGACACGAGCAGGGGGGCTGCCACCTGACCTGACGCAGACACCTGACCAGACGCAGCGACCTGAGGAGGCTCAGTAGTAGTCAGACTGTACAGACTCGACCCAGGCCGGCGGGAGAACGTGGCCAGGTGACGGCCAGTCCGGGAGCACGTGCAGATCGCCACACGCTGTCCTCTAGAGATAAAGGTATCAACCCATGCATCCTGAAGGACTGCGTTACTCACCAAGTTCGTCGAGAACGAGGGGAGGTGGAGACCTGACAGTGAGCCGGACGGAACCGCCGGACACGGGAGAATAGTGGAGGAATGTGTAAGAACCAGGCCCACAGAGGGGTCAGCCAGTGAGACTGCAACGGGTCTAGGGAGTGGTGTGACTGTGGTACTGTCGCGAAAGAAGCAGCGGGAAGCACCTGAGTCAAGCGTGAAGGTGTGCAAGGCCTCAGCAGGCGCAGTACTAGAGAGAGCAGACTCACTAGCACCTAGAGCAGCAGCCTCTATACCAGGGTCGGGCGGCACACACAGGTAACAGTCACCCTCAGTACCAACAGTCAAAGCATACATGGCAGTAAGGATAGCGTCATAGTCTAGAGCAAATATATCCACATTGTTCCGAAGCAGCTCTAGCCAGCGGGGGAGCTCAGCCTCGTCGCCAAACTCTGTGCGCCAGGCGTCGCCCAGACTGGAGAAGCAGCGGGACTGTGTGTGGCCAACTGTCCCGCAAGTCTGACCAGCCCGATCACCTGTGCGAATAATGTACGGGCAGCAAGCATTACTCCGAGACGCCCCACGCTGAGCGTACCACTCACAAAGCTGCTGGAACGTAAGGGTCACGCGCGGACGCCGCTGCAGCTGCATCTGGCCACCGCCAGAAACTCCCCACTGAACAGCTCCACCGCGACTGCCACTATAGCCGCCGCCACCACTCCCACCGCTACCACGAAGAGAAGTCATAGCGGACAAAACAAGGAGGCGCGTGACCAGCAGGGCAGCACTCAGGGAAGGTAGGGCGGCGAGCAGGCACTAGGATTAGCGTGTAGGGTAGGGCGGCGCGCGGGCAGGCATGGGCGGCACGCGAGCTGCAAAAGGGCGGCGCGCAAGCAAGCAGGAGCGGCGCGCGGCAAGCGAGGCTGCGCGCGGGTCTGCACAGGGCTGCGCACGGGCAGGCAGGAGCGGCGCGCGGTTGGCAGGGCAGCGCTCGGGCAGAAAACGGGCCGCGCGCGGCCAGCAGGGCGGCGCGCGGGCAGGGCAGGGCGCACGCGGGGCTGCGCGATGCAGGGCAGGGCGGGCGTGGGCGGCGCGACGCAGCGGAACGCGGGCGCAGGCAGCGCGACGCGGGGAATGGCGTGCGCGGGCGACGCGACGGGCAGGGTAGGGCGTACGCGCGCGGCCCGACGCAGGCAGGGCGCGCACGGGCGGCGCGACGGGCAAAGCAGGGCGTACGCTCGCGGCGCGACGCAGGCAGGGCGTGCGCGGGGCGGCGCGACGCAGGGCAGGGCGTGCGCGTGTGGGGCGCGACGCACGTTGGGTAGAGCGTGCGCGGGCAGCGCTACGTAGGGCAGGGCAGGGCAAAGCAGCGCGACGGGCAGGGTACGATCGGATGGGCCCTAACGGAAACGGTCATGGAACACGACCTGCTCTGAAACCATGTCAGAAACTAGAGACCAGCAAGAATGATTGAATTGAACAGAAACAGAGTACAAGTACTAACCCTAATTGGGCTACCCTACAGCCTACACAGCACAATATTCTGACAGGGGTGTGGGGTAGCAGCGCCGTGCGGGGCAGCGGGGCGTAGGGTAGCAGCGGCGTGCGGGGCAGCGGCGCGCAGAACAGCGGCGCGCGCGGTGCAGTGGCACACAGGGCAGTAGCGCGCGAGGCAGCGGTGAGCGGGGCAGCAAAGCGCGCGAGGGACAGGGCAGGGCAGGGCCGGTTAGTGTGTGCGTGGCAGGGCAAGGCAGGGCCGTCTGCGCAGGGCAGGGCAACGTGGTAGCGTGGGGCAGTACAACGACAGTAGGAGTGACGTGGAGTAGGAACGGATCTAACCTATTCTCCGATACCATGTTGAGAAGTATGAACAGCGGAACGATTGCGAACTAGAAACAACATCTAAAAAAAGTAGCCCTTAAAAATGGCAATTTACAGCCACAGGGGCCATGCATTTTGGCGGGTATATGGCCAGGATTGGCGGGCTATACGCAGGCTGCTTCGTAGGCGCTTCAGGCCAGTAAATTCCCCGATTGTAAATTGAGCAGAATGGTTGTTTAAGCCAATATACAGCTACACCCCAATCGTGATTCATGGCTGTAATTGGCCAGCCATTGATGGCATTGAGATGAGGGGAGTACCGTACAAATAACAAACCCTTGTACCCCCTATAGCTAACCTCACTATAGCCTAACAATATATGGTTAGATCCTTTTGAGATTATCACCCAATGCAGCTCAACTCAGTTATAAAATCTTCGTATGACCCACGGGCCCGCTCTATTCAATGTTCCTTGTTTAGAGCAGATGGGTGGTGGTAAGAAGAGTTGAAGAGGAGGAGGAAGGAAGAGAAGGGAAAGAGGAAGGTGAAAGGACCAGCATTTGCACAACAGCTTGCGCGATGACCAGCATCAACGCCGTTGACGCGACGGGGACGGTGGCATGGAACGGGAGATTTCCAAAGACCATAACCTGTGCTGCAGTAGTAGTAGTACATGCATCATCGTCTTTTTTCTTGCGTGCACCAGTCCTCGTTCCAGCGTGAAACACTATCCCGTCCAATCGACGCGCCAAACTGATCCCCTTTGTCGCGGAGACGAGAAACGCGACCAGTACGGGCCACGTCATGTGCCCAGAAGCGAACAAGCCCACAGCTACGATGACAGTCGCGTGTTGTACGAATCTATATAAACGTGCCACCCGCTCGGACCCCAATTGCGCAGTCAACGTGATTTTCCCGCACTGCAGGTCAGACTCGATGTCAGGCAGATTCATGACCATCATCCGCACAAACTGCTGCACGAAAAGCAGCGGGATGATCGCGCGGAGCGACGTCGGAAGCACAAACGCGCCGTCGCCGCGGCGCTGTAGCGCGCCCATCACGGGCACGCACCAAGTGAGCACGAACGCCACGATCACTTCGCCCAAACCGCGATAATGGAGCTTAAAGGGCGGCCCGGTGTACGCCCACGAGAGGAACACGGTCGCACACGCGACGTACTGTGCGGGGGTTCGGAGAAAGGCGAGCGTGACGACGCTCCCAATGAGGAAGACGCAGGCTGCGGCGAGCGCCACCCATAGAGGCAGCAAACCCTCGGGAAGCACGCCGGATCCGCCGTTCCACTTGCCGCGCTGCTTGTTGGCGAGGTCGGCCTCGTAGTCAAAATACTCGTTGAAGTAGTGCGTCATGACGTGCGTGCACGCCACGAAAAGCGCCACGGGCAAAAAGCTTTCAACGCGGAAGCCGAGCTCATCGAGATAGTGCTGCTGGTGGTCGATGTCACAGGAGAGCGCGCCCAAGAGCGCGAGAATGAACGAGTACGGAATAAACTTGAGTCGCCCCAGTCGAATCAACGCGGCGAGGGACGACATATCGGAAAAGTGAAAAGGCCTGCTCGAGCTCTGGTTTGTGTGGGTTCTTATTTCTACATCACATTCCCAATTTTCCTTTGTTGTGCTCGCAGGGAGGTGAGTCAAATTTCCAGAGGCATCGCGGCGAATGAGGCAGCGTGTTTCCGTTGGGTTGGGATGGTGGGAGGAGCAAGCTGAAGGGGACCGGGGACCTAAGTGTCAGCAGGAGACGGGGGTGAAGGGAAAGACTTTTTTCAAGAGCGATGGGATGCAGCGCGCGGTGGGCAGTACTGCGCATCCGCGGACGGTGGCATGGCACGGGGGGAGTGTTGTGTCGTGGGAAAGATGAATTGGATAGAAGGCGTTCAGTAGGTCGTCTCTCCATTTTCCCCCCGACGGATCGAACTGTCGACGGTACGAACCGACAAAGGGTTACCAGCGTCGCACACTGTCGTAAAGAAGGTCGTAAAAGTACACCCCGTTTTTCGCTACACCGAAATGGGCCGAACTGGTGACAAACCTTATATATATATATATATATATATATATATATATGTGTCGGTCGTAACCGGAGCTAGAGGGCATAGGTAGTGTATACTACCGTACCCTCGCAGCTGTCTATGGTAGTGTAAACCTTGTTATATTTGATTTCCCTAAAAAAACCATACGAAAACGTATTTCAACCACCGTCAACCGTGCTTTTCCCTCTTGACTTTACTATAACTTGCGAGAAACAGGGTGTATGTGCGACGTCGTCAACTATCCGAACTGTGGCGTCACTTTCACTCCTTTCAACGGTTCAGAATCTGAACCGTTGACAGTTCGGAAAACAGACGGACGGTGCAACAGTACTGACTAGAGATTAGCCCGCGAAATATTCTGAAAATATGAAATCAGATTGGCGCACGAATCTGGCAGGAAGTATGTCGTGACTTGTGTAACGACGCTACCGTGACCATTACGAAGCTACAGTGATTCGTGAAATTCAAAACACTGAAAACAGTGACAGCATTGCATCTGGACGGGGCAATGTTCCGAAATGGCAATTCGGACAGTCAAGTCCTCGCTATTACTGTAGGGCTGTCCTGCCAAAAAAGAGAACCGTCCAGAAAAATGCACAAATGCAAAATGGAGACACTCCCAAAGTTCATATGAGCGCCAGCGTCAGCAGCACAGCATCCAACCCCAACCGAAGTTCCCCCAGCAACATTGCACGAAACACGTTTAAAGGGCTGCCACGTAGGGGAAGATATTTGTCGACTTCCTGTGAGTGTCAGGGACTCCACGTGATCGACCCACTTGACTCAGAAGAAGGCAGTGTGGTCCAACACGGGCAGTTCGAAGGACACGGGCAGTGTACCTGAAGGGACACTGCAAATATGTGGGAAAATTTCTTGAGTGTCCAGGGGTGATCTTTCCAGGGGTGAACGATATGTTTTCTTAAAGCTCAAGGCCCAAATTGCGGGCCGCGCTGGGCAAGATTACTAATCTTGCTGAGCGGCTGTTTGGGTGCTGTGAGTTGGCGAATTTTTTGGTACACTAGGTACAATGAATCTGATTGGTCGAAACCAAACTCACCGCGCAAACTTCATGTTTCAGTATTTCTCAATTTGGGACTATCGGACCCAAACAGAATATTTGGCCCAGAGTTTGCTGACTCAGCAAGTTTTGCGAGGGCTTGACGAAAAAAGCGAACCCCACTTTCTCGACTTTCTGTTCACCTCCCAAACCACCAGCCCAAACCCTTGCGCAAGATTACTAATCATGCGCAATTTGGGCCTTGAGCTTTAAGTAGGTAGTTTCAGACACCTCATACGAGTACAGTGTATGTACGCACAGGGGATCGCATCTGGCGCGCGAGTGGATTGTAGGTCCATCCCCTGCGGTTCTTTTTGAGAATCGAACAAGAGGGCATCATTCATACACCCTCAATTCTGGGCGTCTGAGGGATGAAGACGAATACCGTCACAGACACAATTGTAAAGCACTTGCTCTCACCAGCATGTCCCCCTCCCTCGACACTGTTTTCCCCAGTAGCCCGGTTCGTCTTGCTTTCCCCGACCTGGTGGTTGCTTCTCAGGGGGCCAGCATGTCAGCGCTGCCCCCCGCCTACACACCGCCGGCACTTTCACCCCCTTCTCCGCTACTGTTACTTGCCCGTTCTCATCCGCCGGCGATCTTTACAACAGTCACTTCAAATCCCCCTACACTCTGTTTCTCGAAGTTCGGACAACCGGGAGCCCCGGCTACAGTGCGCACGTGTGCTTGGATTCAGCGGGCTGGTGCTTGTAGCCGGAATGCACTTCGGGAGAACGGTAAACAACGGTTCATGGAAAAAAACGTGCCTTTGCGTTCGGTCGCATACGGTAAATGTGCTTATATTGTATGTTCTGGGACCAATTTGGACGCATTCATGTCAGTACATCCGGCTTGTCAGTATGGCGAATGTCAGTGTGGCGCGAAACAGGGTGTACGTTTCTTCGTCAAGCCGGCTTTACTCCACACTCCCGCATCTTTCCTCGGTTTCGGCTCTGTTCCTTTGCCTGACATGTACTGTATCAGGTGAATTCCGTTTCTTTCAGATCGAGGAATCCCTTGCATTCGCATTACGTTTCTTACAGAGCAGGAAAAGTGCCCTGTGTAGAGCATTCGCAATCCCCTGGCTTCAGCGAAGTTCAGCACCGCCGCAAAATTCCGCCTCAATTTTCGGGCAGTGTCGTCGCCTAGCCAATCAGTCCAAGGTGAGTACAGCATGCTATACACGCATATGACTCTGGATGTATACACTATCATAGTGATGTTACTCCAACCTCAGAGCATGGTACAGACTCGTAGATTCATGGCTAGCTAGGACTCTTCGTCTTCCCTGTACTCATATTTATATTTGTTGTATTTGCATGTTTTAATCAATCTCAAGCATTTTACATTGAGAACAAGGGCCCACCAACTTTGCTTCTCTGTGAGCGAACCTTCCTCAGTAGATCCTGGCAACGATCAACTTCTGATCGCAGCATGGTATGAGAGCGACTCGGGAATCCTTCGCACTGCCACTCCCGAAAATTGCGACATTCGGAAAGTGGCGTCCGGCACACGATCGCGTGTGAGAATGGCCGGAGGATCTGGTGGTCAGACTAATCTGACGGCTGAAGCGCAACCCAACCCGGCTGCGACAAGCGAGGAAACAACGACGATCGGCACCGAAGTCCTCGCACAACTTCTTCAGCGACTCACCAGCTTGGAGCAAGGGCTCCAAACATTACGGAACGGCGATGCGGGAACATCCTCGCAACCATCTCAACCGGCCCCAACTGGGCAGAACGCCGTCCCGCAAACCTTCTCCCTCGACACAAATGGCTCAACCCCCAAGGCTCCCCGTCCCAGTGAGGAAGCAATTCTCTCAGCACAATCAAAGTTTCTCAGCATATCAAAAATAAAGACAAGTACCTGTTTCGACGGCAGAGACTTCTATACCTGGAGCTTCGAATTGGAGCTCTTGCTGCAGAACGCCCAAATTTACCATTATTTCGACGGGAGCTACGCGGAACCCGCTGAGGACACCGACGACGCCAGGACTCGCTACTACAACGAGTCCCTGATGGCGTACGGAATTCTCCTTCGCAACATGTCGCCGGCGGAGCAACTAAACATCCGATCGTACAAGACATCGGCTGCTCCAGCCCTCGACGCCTGGCGCCACCTGAACGGCGTGTATCAGCCGAAGGACTCCGTTTCCTCGAGCCGACTGCTTCAGCAGCTGCTGGAGACCAAAATGGTCTCAGGGGAGAAGGTCAACAGCTACATCAATCGCTGTCGGAGCCTTCGCGACCAAATCGTGAAGCTAGGAAGTTCGATCTCCGAAGAAATCTTCGTGAACATCGTGCTTCAAGGGCTCGGCCCAGAGTGGCGGCCCTGTAAGGCGCTTCTCCGACAGCAGGGGGTCATCTCGGAGGCCGCCCTCTGCGCCGCACTTCTCGTCGAACAACGGGATATGGATCAGCAGCGACCAGCGCCACGACGAGAAAGAGAACGACTCACCTTCTACGCCGACAACAACGAAGAGCGACGGCCGAGGCGCCTCTACTGCAAAATCTGCAGGAACTTTGGGCACTTGGCGGATCGATGCAAGTACCGATCCCGCCCTCGCCAGACCAATCCGAGCAACTGGTCCGGCCGACAAGACGCACGAGGCGACGTGCGTCCAGCCCAGGGGTATCAATCCCCAGCCGCGCGCAACCTGAACCCAACGGTTCAGCATCAGCAGCCACCATCGACTGCCCCAGTACGCAACGTCATGAGCAACATGGCCATGACAGGCGAATCGCGTCGTCGCCGCGTGCGCTCACCTTCACCTGAGCCCGCACCGCACCCCATTGGCGCGTTCAACAACAACAACAACCCTTTTAGCCCGCGCCACGACTTCACCGACGACGACGCCCAGGACTGGAATCTCCCAGTCCCGCTGCTTGAAAGTCCCCCGCACGTACCTGATATGCGGGTGGCGCCACTTGATTGGCTCTCGCTCGGGCAATTTCTGAAGATCGACACTCCGCACATCGTCACGCCGCGACTGGCGCTGCTCGCACGTGACGACAACAAGCGCTTCAACACCTGGTACCTGGATAGCTGTTGCGGCCAGCATATGGTGGGCTCCGAGCGTTACATATCCAACGCCGTCGCCACCCCGACAGTCACCTACGTCACCGTGGCTAACAACACACGCCTGCGCGCAAGTGCGCAAGGCATCGTCGTGCTCAAGGCACGCGGAAGCCGCACGCACATCACACTCAATGATGTGCATATCGTCCAGAACCTGCGCTTCAACCTGCTCTCCGCCGCACAGCTCATGGACTGCGGCGTCGAACTCAGCACGGATCGCGCGACGCGCGAAAATCTGCTGCACTACGAGTCCCGAAACTTCCCCCGCAGGCAGATCGGACGAGCACACTCCGAGAATGGAGTGTATGTCCTGGACTTCGACATCCCCGACTGCAGCGGCGATTCGCACGAGTTAATCGACCTCG